GATCCAGGTAATGTATATGTTTTTCAGATTTTCCCTCACAGTCATGAGGGCTAGAAACCTTATTAGAGATGAATGCTTAGAAACCGAGCCACATTCTACCAGGGCAAGTGGTAGAAATCTTTCAGACCTTTACTGGATTTCTGTTTGTTAACCCAACCATTGCCCTTGGCCTTGGAGTCTTTTTTGTTCCTAAATGGAGGGTAAAAGCTGTAAATTTTAGATTATTGCATGATATATTTAGTACATCAAATCACTAGGTCGTGCACCTGAGTATTGTATGCTGGTCACCCCTACTCATAGACTTTCAGTCTAAAGCTAGACACAAGTGTTTATATCCAATGCGGGCACAAACAGAATTCCCCTACCTTTCCTCCCCGTTGTAGCCTCCCACAAGTAGGTACTCTGAAGGGACCCCAGCTCTCCATAGCAGATTTGGGGGTCACATAATAATAATAATAATAATAATAATAATAATAATAATAAAAAATTATTTATACCCCACCCTCCCTGGTCAGGGCTAGGCTCAGGGGGAAAAACAGTTAAAATACTCCTTAAAATACAGCTTAAAATGCAGCCTCATTTTAGTAGTAGCCCATAGATCAAGACCATAAAGGGAGAAAACATCAGATATTCACCCGAGCCAGCTATCCATGGGAAGATTTATATACCAAATCCCCTATAAGGGGTCAGAGTGATTCTAAGCTGAAGGCCAGGCGGAACAGCTCCATCTTGCAGGCCCTGCGGAAAGATGTCAAGTCACGCAGGGCCCTAGCTTTTTGTGACAGAGCGTTCCACCAAGTCGGGGCCAGTACTGAAAAGGCCCTGGCCCCAGTTGAGACCAATCTAACCTCCTTGAGGCTCGGGGCCCCCAAAGTGTCGTTATTTATGGACCTTAAGGTCCTCCGCGGGGCATACCAGGAGAGGCGGTCCTGCAGGTACGAGGGTCCTAGGCCGCATAGGGCTTTAAAGGAGGAGGGAGGAGAATAAGAAGAAGTTCTGAGGTGTGAGCAGGAATCTTCCATTCCCATATGAGCACCACTGGATATCGCCCGAGACACATTCCAGAGAAGAAGAGAAAGCATCTTAGAACTGTAGAGTTGGAAGGGACCACAAGAATCATCTAGTCTAGGCCTGCCACATTCCCAAAAGTGAAAATCCAGACAAAGTTGATTATTATTATTTTGGTCAAAAGTTGTTGGGGGTTTTTTTGGGGGGGAGACACATCTACCCCCCCCCCCAATTTATTCAGTGGGGCTCAAACCCTTGACCCTGAGATTAAGAGTCTCATGCTCTACCGACTGAGCTATCTGGTTGCCAGGAGGAAAGAAGGTGGGGCCAAGTGAAAAAAGGTCTGGTACTTGTATGTAACAGCATTCATTAAAATTTAGGATGTATGATTCTGTTTCTTGCTGGAGGGTTTCTGCTATAGAATAGCTAAGCCCTTTTAAACGCTCATTTCTGTTCCCTGTGGGAGTGCTTTCTTTACAGCGACTCTGTATTGAAACAGCTTCCCAAAAATCCTGTCCTGACTTGAGGAATTATTTTTGAACTAGACCTCTTAGCAAGGGTGGTTCCATCAGCTTCCCTGCCAGGAAAGAAACACGATAGTGATCTTCTGTTCGAATGATCAGTCACATTTGATTGGAAGCTCGGCTTCTCATTTCCTCTGAGCTTTCAGTCTGCGCAGAATGTCTTGTTCTGAGTCTAGGGAAGCTGGGCCTGGGAGTTTGGTGCTCCATGAAGCAGGAGGGGAATGCATCCAAGTGCTTTTTAAATCTCTTCCAAGTGAAGCAAAGCAGGCCTTTGTGAACTAGGGATACCACCAACGATGGCTTGGAGACAAATGACACTGGCAATGTAATGCTCAGGCTAAGGGCTGATTCACAGAGGTTTCAAAGCAACGGTGCACTATAGCTCCCATAACATGTTCTTATGGTAAAGTAAGACGTGTAGGAGTACAGTGGTACCTCAGGTTACATACGTTTCAGGTTACAGACTCCGCTAACCCAGAAATAGTACCTCGGGTTAAGAACTTTGCTTCAGGATGAGAACAGAAATCGCGCAGTGGCAGCAGCGGGAGGCCCCATTAGCTTAAGTGGTGCTTCAGGTTAAGAACAGTTTCAGGTTAAGAACAGATCTCCGGAACAAATTAAGTACGTAACCAGAGGTACCACTGTACATTTTGTACAGTTGCCCCTACACCAGTGTGCTGAAAATTTAGGTGCAATGTGCCCCATGGAACCTAACTGCACAAACATACTGATGCTCAGAAGTTTATATAGAGTGGCTTAGATCTACGCCTCTGCCAAAAAATTGCATTTCTAAATAACTAACTCTACATGAGCTTCCGGTGGGTTCTAATAACATTTCAGTTGAGAATTTTATTAGAGCCAATGCAAAGAAGAAGAAGAAGTAAAGGACCCCTGGACGGTTAAGTCCAGTCAAAGGTGACTATGGAGTTGCGGCGCTCATCTCGCTTTCAGGCTGAGGGAGCCGGTGTTTGTCCACAGACAGCTTTCCGGGTCATGTGGCCAGCATGACTATACCTCTTCTGGCACAGTGGAACTCCATGACAGAAACCAGAGCACCTGGAAACACCTTTTACCTTCCTGCCACAGCAGTACCTATTTATCTACTTGCACTGGTGTGCTTTCGAACTGCTAGGTTGGCAGGAGCTGGGACAGAGCAACAGGAGCTCACTCCGTTGGGGGGATTCGAACCGCTGGCCTTCCGATTGGCAAGCCCAAGATACTCAACAAAGAACATGCTATAATAATCTGATCCAATACAAAAAGTTATATGATAAGCATAACTTTATAATGGAATGACTTATATCAAATGAAGCAATAATCTATTCAAATATAATCGTACACAATAAAATTAACGCTCAGAACATCAGCAAATAATAACTGAACAGGAATTCAATCCTAACAATTACAGTAAATAATCACTCAACTATGATCAATAAAAATACACAATGCATAAAATACCACAGTACATACAAAACCATACAAAAGGTTTTGCATTTACCCACTAAGTAAGAAACAGGGGAAAGTGAAACTAAATACACAAACTCATCCCCAGATAACAGCAATAGATATTCCCAAGAGAACAGGAAGAGAAGAAGGGGAAGGACATATATTTTTCACAAGGTTATTTAACTTTTTGCCTGCCAGATCCTGGGTTAAACTTCTCACACATTATCAAAAAGTGAAAATTCAGGCACAAAAGTTGTTGAGGGTTCTTTGGAGTGGGGTGGGGGGAAACAAAGTTCTAAAGCCTCACTTCACCTTCAAGCCTGCCTTACGTATGAAATAGCACACATTGGATACACCAGATTCTGCTGAGGTAGCAGACCCTCCAAGTGTCCCTGTTTTCCAGGGACAGTCCCGGATTTACAGAAGCCGTCCTGGTTTCTGATTTGATCCCAGAATGCCCCGCTTTTCCTTAGTCCCTATTTTCATTGGATCAGTGTTGGAGGGTATGGAGTTATCCAGCCCCACACTAAAGAGGCAAGGAGCTATACAACCCTTAGAATTACTACAGTCATACCTCGGGTTAAATATGCTTCAGGTTGAATTCAACAGTGTAAACAAGTTTTGATGGATGTAATCAGGGCCAGATTTAGGTTTGATGAGGCCCTAAGCTACTGAAGGTAATGAGGCCCTTTATAAGTTACCATATATATACTATATGGTAACTTATGGACCTAACAAGTATCTAAAGCCATTTGCACGTAACAAATAGGAGCCTACACAACACAAAACACACTTGCTGTATGTAGCTTTTATTTTGTTCGTTTTTTATCCTTATTTTGGAAATGTACATCCAGTTTGTTCCCCTTTAAATTTTGTGAGGGCCCCCAAGAGAGTGGGGCCCTAAGCTATAGCTTGTTTAGCTTATATGGAAATCCAGCACTGGATGTAATAATGGAATTTGTTGTTGTTCTTTAGTCATTTAGTCGTGTCCGACTCTTTGTGGCCCCATGGACCAGAGCATGCCAGGCACTCCTGTCTTCCACTGCCTCCCGCAGCTTGGTCAAACTCATGTTAGTACAGTCATACCTCATGTTACGTCCGCTTCGTGTTACGTTCTTTCAGGTTACACCCCGCAGAGACCCGGAAGTACTTCTGGCTTTTGCCGCTCGCGCATGCGCAGAAGCCCAAAATGACATCACACGCATGCGCAGAAGCGGTGAATCGCGACCCGTGCGTGTGCAGACGCGCCGCTGCGGGTTGCGTTCTTTTCATGTTGTGAACGGGCTCTGGAATGGATCCCGTTCGCAACTGGAGGTACCACTGTATTTTCGAGAACACTGTCCAACCATCAATAATGGAATACTGATTGATATAGTTTTTGTAGAACATGCAAGGGTTTATGATACGCAAAAGGAACCATGGAAAGAGAAGAACGGAAGTCACTGATATCTTAAGGATGTGAAAAATGAGTACTTTAAATTGTAGAAAAGAAAATGTAATTTAAAAAATATATTTTAAAAAGAAGAAGAGGACGTCCCGATAAACCTTGGAGGCATCGGGGTCGCGGGGGCGCATCTCGCAAGGTGACCGTCGGGTCGCTCTGCCCAGCTCCGTCCTCGCGTTCCCTTTCACCCGAGGCGCCGCCTCTGCGAGCGGATCGCTCTCCCGGCTCCGACGTCGGGCGTGGGCGGCGCGGCTCCGCCCCGGCGCTCGGCGGCTCCTCCCCGGGGCGGCCGCTGCCGTGCGCCCCTGCTCTACTGGAGAGCCCGTGCGTCGTGACGCAGCTGGCGAGCGCGTCCCGAGCGCAGGCCCTTCGCCGCGTCCCGCGCCGTCTCGGTCCCGAGCGGAGGAGGCGCCTCTCTTCTCCTCGCTCCCCAGCGCCGCCGGGCGAAGCGACCGGGAAGAGCCGGGCGGCGGGGAGAGAGAGAGGCGGACCCGCCCGGGCGCGCTCGGCGGCGCGCGCCAAGCAGCTGGCCCGCCCCGACGGGCGTCGCTTCATCTCCGGCTGCTTCCTCCTTGCCTGCATGTAGCGGGGGGAGCCGGAGGGAAACCTCGGCTTCCTCTGCAGCGCCGCCGTCGCGGGGGGGAAGAGTCGGTGGCCAGCTCCCCACGCGCCCGTTTCCCGAGGTATTCGCTTCCCGTCCTTCTCCAGGGGCGGCGTTGCGCCCGGGCGCCTTGTTGCGCTTTCGCTTCCCCGGTGGGGCGAGTTTGGGGGCGCAGCGGAGGGTTTGCTGCCTGGCTGGAGTGGGGAGGAAAGGATAACGGGGTTGGGGGTTAAAGGAGGCGTTGGTGGGGTTGTTACTCCGACCTCTTTCTTTCTTTCTTTCTTTCTTTCTTTCTTTCTTTCTTTCTTTCTCTTTCTCTCACTGCCTCCTTTTAAAACCACAAAAGCAAAACTAATTTTACGCAGGAAACTTCGGGCGGGCTGGGCTTCCTTTAACCCACCCAGAGAAATTCCCTTCCCAGATACGAATGAAACCAAAGTGCAGTCCTATCAAAACGGGGTGGATCGCTTGGGGTATTAAGAGTTATGAAGGCCACGGGTGTAATCCCCTCCCCTCCCCATTATTTTCACCCTTTCTATTAAAACAATATTAATGAAATATTTCAATAATTCTCTATTTAGGCTGTAGTTGCAGTCTGAGGTAGAAAGATGTGAACTCTTTCCTCGTGGACAAGAAGAGGCCTTTCTTCCACCTTGCCGATGGTGTGTATTTTTATTTTTTAAAAAACTTTTTTGGGGGGTAGGAATCGGTGTTTAAGTAATGCACCTTCAAAATATAGTTAAAGGGTTGAGGAGATTTCCCTCACGTGCCTATTGTGTTTCAGCTAAGGGGTAATTATTGTAGTCCTAGTGCATATAATTATGTTATGGTTTGTTTTTGCACTTTCTCTTTGGCAGCATGGAACTTGTTTTCCAGCTGCTAATCTGCTTCTTAAGAAGGAAAGATTGTGTGGGTTGTTGAGGAAGGGGAGATCTGGGGCAGCGAACTTTTTATCTGGGGTGGGAAGGAGTAATGAAATGTGCAGTTTCAGTAACAGAAGCCAGTGAGGCTGTTTAGCTCTCCATCCTCTTATTTGATCATTCCAACTTTCCTGGTCTATATAGGAAACAGATTCCCTTTGACATTGCTGAATTGTAACTTTGGAAAATAACGGAGGGTGAAGGAAATGATAAATACCAGTAGGAAACATGTCAGGCAATTTCGTAGATTTTTTAAAGCTGTTGCTATTTAACAAAACAAAACAAAAAACAGAGTCTGTATAAGAGCTGTTGGTTTTCAGACAGTAGAATCATTGTGAATTATATGGGAGATACATGATTGTATCTTCCAACATCCTTTTCTTTGATTAAAAATAGCTGTGATGTGGTCTTGGCTAATAGCTATGGAGGGGGAAAGATAAGTACCTGTAGAAATTTTAAGTTGTTTGAAGGGTGTGGGAGGAAGCTTGCGATCCATCTAGTTCGGTTATTCATTGTGTTGTGCAAACTCATTCCTTATATACTTGCAATTTATTTTTTTGTCAAATGTGCATGTGTTGTTTATGTAATTCATACATTAAGAAGAAGAAGAAGAGCATTAATGTTGCTGTCAAAAGTTAAGGTTTCGAGCTCTTCCTGACATCTGTAAAATGTTTGTTGCTTTGTCGCCTGGCCAACTGCTGCCTTCCTTGGTGTCATTTCCTTGTGGGCTGATGCTACGGGCAACAGATAAGAATATTGCCCTTTTCATCAAATCAAATAGTTGATTTTTCCACCCTGCAGTTGGTAGTGTTTTACTGACATTGGAAGAGGAGTACAGGACCTCTGTTCCAAGTTGGCTGATGCAAAGGAGTGTAAAACCTTGATTACAAGTTGGAGCAAAAAGCCCCCTCCTAAACGCAAAGCAGCAAGGAGCTTCATAGTTTTAATGGTAATGTTTTCTGCCACTGTTACACTCCTGTCGTCCCGTCCCCCCCACAGCAGAGATGTGTGTGAACAAACAACACATCCTCACACGTGTGTACACATTCCATGAGAGTCTTGGCTGTCTGTTGTGGCCCTCAATGTTGAAGAACTTGGAACTCCCTGCACAGTTTCTGCTAAAGGCTTTGATGCATAAATCAGACTGGTACATAGTCAAAGCGCAGGTTACAAGATGTAGCAGGTATCTTGTATAAAGGGCCAGGTATAGAGACATGGGTGGGGACGCGGGTGGCGCTGTGGGTAAAACCTCAGCGCCTAGGACTTGCCGATCGCATGGTCGGCGGTTCAGATCCCCGCGGCGGGGTGTGCTCCCGTCGTTTGGTCCCAGCGCCTGCCAACCTAGCAGTTCGAAAGCACCTCCGGGTGCAAGTAGATAAATAGGGACCGCTTACCAGCGCGTTCCGTGTGCTGCGCTGGCTCGCCAGATGCAGCTTGTCACGCTGGCCACATGACCCGGAAGTGTCTGCGGACAGCGCTGGCTCCCGGCCTATAGAGTGACATGAGCGCACAACCCTAGAGTCTGTCAAGACTGGCCCATACGGGCAGGGGTACCTTTACCTTTATAGAGACATGGGGCCACGTATAGAGACATGGGGACTCGGGTGGTGCTGTGGGTTAAACCACAGAGCCTAGGACTTGCCGATCAGAAGGTCAGCAGTTCAAATCCCTGTGACGGGGTGAGCTCCCGTTGCTCGGTCCCTGCTCCTGCCAACCTAGCAGTTCGAAAGCACATCAAAGTGCAAGTAGATAAATAGGTACCGCTCCGGCGGGAAGGTAAACGGTGTTTCCATGCGCTGCTCTGGTTCGCCAAAAGCGGCTTAGTCATGCTGGCCACATGCTGTACGCCGGCTCCCTCGGCCAGTAAAGTGAGATAAGCGCCACAACCCCAGAGTCGGCCACGACTGGACCTAATGGTCAAGGGTCCCTTTACCCTTTATAGAGACATGGCTAAGTGCAAGCAGATAATGTTGATCCAATAAGCCACATGCTCCCTGGACCTTCCTTTTGAAGAGTGGGGTAAGCACAGCTCTTAGTGTGTTAAGTGGTCAGCACCCAATTAACTCCCAGTTAATTGCCTTCTTGAAAGAGGGATAGCCTCACTGACAGGAGAAGGAGACGTCTGCCTAGGGTTGGCCAATGTCACAGGGCTGGAACAGTCCTCTGCCAATCCCTGCCTTGGATCCATTTCTCCATTCCTCCTCGCCAAGTTCTGACATCTCCAACTCCCTGAGCACATCCTGTTCCTCCTTAGCATCTGACCACCCCCTGCATGAAACCTTCAATAGCTTCATGGCATCGCCCTGTTTCTGAAGTGCCCCCACCCCAGTCATGAAGTTTGGATTTGCCTGAATAGCATTAATGGACTTCGGCAGTTAATTGGGGGCATGCAAGTCACCTGTGTCTTCCCAGAATGGCCCTCTTGGCCATAATTGGTCCAGTGAATCAAATACCTGCAGCCTAGGGGTGCCCAGCTCCAACTCCCTGAGCTCCTCCCATTCCTCCTCAGGATCTGGCCATCTCCTCCATGACACTGGCTCTCAGTCACAAATACTCACATGTTCAGAGACCTGTCAGGAATGCTTTACTGTGAGGGATGCGGGTGGCGCTGTGGTCTAAACCACTGAGCCTCTTGGGCTTGCCAGTCAGAAGGTCAGCAGTTCGAATCCGCATGACAGGGTGAGCTCCCGTTGCTCTGTCCCAGCTCCTGCCAACCTAGCAGTTCGAAACCACACCAGTGCAAGTAGATAAATAGGTACCACTGTGGCGGGAAGGTAAACAGCGTTTCCGCGCGCTCTGGCTTTCGTCACGGTGTTGCGTTGCGCCAGAAGCGGTTTAGTCCTGCTGGCCACATGACCCAGAAAGCTGTCTGCGGACAAACGCTGGCTCCCTCGGCCTGAAGCGAGATGAACGCTGCAACCCCATAGTCGCCTTTGACTGGACTTAACCTTCCAGGGGTCCTTTACCTTTTTTTCCTTTTTACCTTTACTGTGGGGGCAAACGCTACTGTAACAGTTGCATTCCTATGGCAGACAAGATTGCCATGTAAAAAGTGAAGCCTTTCAGAAAGAGGAAGTTTAAAAGCAAGGGAAGCTTCCAAAGGGCTTTGGAAGCTGCAGAGCAGGCATAGGCAAACTGGGCCCACCAGATGTTTTGGGACTACAACTCCCATCATCCCTAGCTAACAGGACCAGTGGTCAAGGGTGATGGGAATTGTAGTCCGAAAACATATGGAGGGCCGAGTTTGCCTGTGTCTGCTGCAGAGGCTTTGTTCAACTGGAAAATGAAAGGCAAGCAAGGTGCTTAACACTTGGTATTGCGTTGCCAATGCCAGTCATGCAGGAGTTAAAGTACAGCTTTGGAAACAAACTCTTTAAAGTTAACTCAGTCCTCAGCTAGAGAATATTACTAAAGGACACTGAGTGTCTCTTGTGTAACTGTATAACTGTACTCTATGCTTACTCGTGTTCAATGCCAGTTAATTACATAATTATTACCTTATTCTGGTTGTAGGGTTATATATCAGCCTTGGCATATTTTGACAGGTGGCATTTTACTTTTAATAACAGCTTCATTAATTGGGGAGTGGTGTGAGTGTGTGCAGTGGGTGTTAATTCAGCTTTGGAAAGGGCAAAGTATTTCACAATTGGGAGTTAAATATTCTTGAAAGAGGCAACTTAGGAAATTGCTCTGCATTTATTGTGCTTTTAAAACCTGGTCACTGAGTTCTTTTTGCATGGTCCTTTTTTATATCAAAGGCAGTGTCCAAAATCAACTTCTGTGGTGCTTTGAGAGTTACAACTATGCAACTACAACTTTTTAATATACCAGAGCATTAAGAATATAAGTTTTAATTCTGTATTTTTGAAATGTGTGTGTCTGACTTACTTTGTTGCATATTTGATGTAGTGCACTTATTTTCAGAATACGCTGTTCTGTGAAATATTTGTTTTATGTATTGAATTTGTATACTGCTCTTCCTCCCCAAGGAGCCCAGGGCAGCAAACACATCCTCAATGTTAAACAAACCCTTCTAAGAGTAATCTGTCATTCCTAGTGTCCAGTGTCTTAACTAATGCCAAACTAGAATTTTCCACTCTCTCAATATACTCAACAGATCCCAAAGTACTGAATAGTGTTTCAGTATGTACTATAACATACACTCATTGGTATCATTATCATAGTCTGAAGCTTCCGCTGTAAATTCTTGTAAACTGATGCTTCTGACTTACATAAGAATGTTCTAGTTAACCATAGTGGCAAAAATTTATTTCGATATTTTGAAAAAAATGTGGATTTTGTTTAAGTTTGGGAGTTGAAAAGACGTAAGAGGTGATATAAAATGTTAGTAGTCTAAGTCATAGTTAACCCATTGATTTCAGTGAGTCTTGTTTGAGTATGAATTACTTATTGTTTTTAGTTGAACTGAGTGTTGATTCCATATATTTGCAGAAAGGGAGAACCAACATCAAACAAATTACGCCTTCTATTCCCTCCCTTTCAACCCCATTCCAGATTACTGCATTTTCTGCCTTCAGTGCATCAGCAAAAAGCAGATTTCCACTGTGACTCGCAAGGTCTTTAAACAATGTAGTTAGAGACAATTTAGCGTCTATATCAATATATACAGAAAAAACAACACAGTGTGCATTGCTTTATATTTGCTGAATGTTACCTGCCGTTTCACAGATCCAATTTGCTATGCATTTTACTCCCAGGGATAATCACATCTTCTAATACCA